TTCAGACTTTGGTCCAGCAGGTGCTTGGGAGATTGAGGGCGTTGGACTTCCACATGGCCAGCCGTGTTTCAAGTCTGGGACCTGGTGGCTTGCTTTCTCACTGTCTCTTTCTCTCTCTCACTGTTTGTCTCTGATCAAACTAAATAGTAATAGTAACAAATAAAGTTAAATAAAATGATTCTTTTAAAAATAATAAATAAATAAATAGATACATCGTTGAATTCATGGATGTGAATGTACTACATGTTAGGTACTGTGTGGAGTACTAGATATTGAAAGAAATGCAGGACATTCCGTACCCTGAGATTTGCTAATAGGCTAAAGACTATATATATTTTTAATTATTCATTTAATTTTATTTATTCATTTATTTATTTTAATTTGACCAGAGAGAGAGAGGGAACGTGAGAAAGTAAGTTACCAGGTCCGGGACTCCAACCATGGTCAGCTATGTGGGAATGTCCAGTGCTTAACCACCATGCCACCTGCTGGTCCCCAAAAGACTGTAGACAAGCACAAGTGATACTTCCCATTTTGAAAGCACCTTAATGGTGCCTCAAGAGGACCACATGGAAGCATCATCTCAGCCGATGGAAGTGAGGGACAGAAGGGAAAAGAATTGAGTACAGTTTCAAAGAATGAGTACATAAAACCAAAGTATTGGGTTGTCTGAAAAGTTATGACACATTTTTGCACAGAAAAACAGAAAAATACATCATGACTTTTCCAACAACCTAATATATATATGTATTTTAAAAGAGGAGTTGGAGGAATAAATCAGCACAACGAGAAGACTTAGGATGATCGTTTCATTGATGAGCACAGGGACCAGAGGGCACAGATGGTGTTCCAGGGGGCAGAGTGAGGGGTATCAAAATCCTAGAGTGGGTGGGACAATCCCACACAACAGAACAATTGTCCTACCCAGAATGCTAGTAGCACTTTTACCGAGTAACACTGGCAGGGGAACCGGGACTGGACTCTGTTAGTCATTATTTCATTATTTCCCAGAATGAACATGGAGGTAGATTAGTTCCATTTTTCAGATGAGAATTCTTTTTTTTTTTTTTTTTGAGAGGTTCTTGCTATAGGGTGGGTGTGCTCGCCAGGAAAACAAAGAGAGACAGAAAACGAGAAATCACCCCCCAGGGAGGATGGCCACGCCGCAATCCCTTCTCCTCCATTCTCCTCTCGGGATCTTGGGCGGGCACGCACACGTGCCTGGTGTGAGTTTAAACCTCTGGGTCCAGGACTGGAACCGCAGTCGACTACGTGGGAGTCCAGTGACGTAGCCATTATGCTAACTGCTAGTCCCTCAGATGAGAACTCTGAAGTACAGAAGGTTAAGTAACTTGCCCCACAGGCCACAGGAAAGCAGCCAGGAGTCAAAACTCAGTGATTTTCCAGTGGTGTGTCTTTCAGCTCTACACACACTGCTATCAGGTAGTAGGGAGCCATCAGGGGACCATTACAATGGCATGTACGTGTGACCACACTTGGTTTGTAAAACAATTTTCAGTAAAAAGACAAATGCAACATGACTAAAAAGTAAATACAAAGTTATTAAAAATGACAACTCTCTGAATTACAGATTAATTTTTTAAGGGTTTTTCACTATGCCTCTACTCTAAAAAAGAATAACCTCCAAACTGGTATTAATGAAACAAAAAGTAATGTATAGTTTAAATTATTAGAGAAAGCAAAATCACTCAAGATTTGTATTACAAATGAATGCAATGTAACTTAGGGAAGGAATTTAAAACTCTTATTTTAGCTCAGCTATGATAATCCTC